GTTGGGTTACTGAGTGGCTGCTTGTTAAAAGTGTTAATTCTTTGCATCTTTTTATGATTTTGTCTTCTTCTTATATCCAAATTTAAGAAGCAGGGATAGATACTAATTTACTGGTGAATACCGCCTGTCCTATCCAACCAAAGTACCTCCTTATCACTAGATTTCAAGTTTTAAAATTATTATTTAATTAAAAAAAAATAATGGAAAGTGACAGTTAATGCCCTAAATGCTGCTAAAGGACTAACTTTTAAAAGCATCTTTGTTTACAGAATGGTTTCTGTATGGCATAAGCATTCTTAGAAAATGAAAATGGCTGCAAATTATTGCTACATTAATAAGGATATGTATCTACCTTGAAAAAAGTTCTAATTCACCAGAGTAAATTAAAAATTGATGGTTTAGGAACCCAAATTAGATTAGGAATATCAAATGCTAATCTATTATTACTTAGAACACAAGCATCTAATGAAATAGAATGTGATGCCAGGTCACTGTAATTGGACAGCAGAACCAGGACCTATATTTTTAACACAGCCATCAAACCTGGAAAGATGTTTATTTGTCCTCGTAGTCTGGCAGAGTGTATATAGAGCATTCCCCAGCTCTGCCCCCCGTCACACATCCACCACCCCTAAATCAGATGAATATTTAAATGTAGCCCTACACATATTGATTTAATGCCAAGAGGCTTAGATAAACAAAGCCCCTATGTTAAAAATACAAAATGCACTCAAGATACCTACTGCATTAACATTAGCTTATCTGTGCCCCTACAATTCAAAGACATGGTAGGATTAATTTTTTAAAAATACCAAGGATTTATCTGCTGAAAATGTGCATTACAAATCCCAGCCAATTGACTCATGTTTGTGCTGCTAACAAATCCATCTACATAAATCTAAATCATTTTGCTAGCAACATCACATTTGATGTGACAATGTTATTTATTTGCGATGCAAGGGGTAACACCAGAGAGTAAACTCAGTTTTTTCTTCCTTAAGCCACTTAAAACTGCATTGCCTCTATTTACTTTAGCATGAAAGTTGACACAGCGGATACTCCCAGCATAAAATCAGGAAGCCATATGTCAGCAGTCCAAATGGAAGTTTAAAAAATACCTTTCAAAAATGAATATTCACAGATACATTTATAAATAATTTCCTTTTATCATTGGAACTCCAAATGCCGTAAGTGCTGATACAAATCTTATGAATAGTGGAAACAGGTTCAGAAATATGTTGAAAGAGATAAGTGTGGTACTAAGAATGAAAGCAGGAGTACTATCTGGGTATTTCTTTTTTCTGGGGTATTTCTTATTAAACCAACTATCTCTGTATTGTGCAACTTCTTTTCTGTTTTCATTACTTGGAAGAAAGTGCACTATAGCCATGGCACTTTTATTTCATTTTTTAAAAATGCAATCACCATCATCACATACAGGAGTAACTTAAAAAAAACCAACTCCATTGTTCTAACCTGTTGTGTCTTGTTTAAAGATCTGTATGCTATCATAAGGTAGTACCATGATGGTGGTGGTGGTGGTGGTTTCCAGGACAAAAAGGACTAGGATAACTTCTCCCTTCAAACACTGTTCACAGTCCAGATCATGCAGTTACACAATTTGGTGGGAAATGGAAGGGGAATGATTATTTTTATAGAGCCATTGAAACATCAATGTCCCTTTGTTTTCTTGTGAAATTGTTGGTACATATTCCCCTGATTTTTGATAGGATAGCCTTAGAGAGCTCAGGAGACTGCACGTGATCAATAGTTCTAGAAACTCAAGGTAGTGTAGGTGAGGGCTACCTTATATAGGCTACAAAAATGTAGATTATTTTAAGGTCAATATTCCCATGGTTAGAACTATTAACTATGAAAGGTAAGTAAAAACAAATGTTTCAGTAGCCTTATTTATTTATTTGTCAAATTTATATAGCTGTTATCACTGGTCAGTTTGACTCTGGGAAATAATATTTAACTCTGGTAATTCATTTTTTTATTCATGAGTTTTCTACAAACGTATGCTCTATCAGCAATTATAATATGAAAATGTGAAAATCATAACATGACAACTAAACTTTTCTTCCCAATCAGACCCCATTTCACTTTGGGAGTTAAGGAGTAAAATTTGCCCCCCAAAATGGCCAAACATTTTGATTTTACAAATAAATAAGTGAAATCTTAGTGATAGGAATGGGCAATAGGAAGAAATTATTTTCAGCCAAAGGAAGTGCATGGATTTTATAGCTAACAAGTAAAACCAGGAAATTTAACTGTATCAGCTTCAATGAACAATTACATTTGCCTGCAGACTTATACTCAATTAGTGAACCTAAACTCTGCTGTAATCTATTTATATACATAAAGATTCAGTGGAAATCACCTTTGTAATATCACACTTTATTACTTTATATAAATCTGGATTATGAATCTATATGACCTTGGACTGGTGATTGAAGTGATGAATAGAAAATTAAAGAGGGCAAAAAAGAGAAAGGTGGGGGATGTTTGCTGGGCTAATACATACTGATGCTAAGCATAGTTCAGAATTCTACTTTCATGGGACTGGCATATTGTGTTAAGCCATGGTTTGTTTAACCAAAGTTTATTGAGCAAGCCACAACTGGCTATATTCGCATTATGCTAACCTATAGATCATAGCTCGCTAACTATATGTAGTTGCACTTAAGATTCAGATTCACACAACATGCCAACTGAAAACCAAACTCCATCATGGAATCATGTGCTCCTGCTGGAACCTTTGAATTAATAAGGATAATGGTTTTAACCATGTGCAAATTACATTTATTTCACCACTGATTTTCAAAACATTCTTATAAATTGACATTGAGGAAAAGACTCCCAGGGCAACAGATATGATTTACTACATTTTACTACATATGATTTACTACATTTTTATTTTAAAAATGTAGTTAGATTTAAAAGCAATCTGTGGTATTCAAAAAGCTAAACAGAAATAATAATAATAAAAAAAATAAAATAAAGGGAGCTGGAAAATTCTAAAGCTCATAGAAAATAAGATTAATATGTGCATTGTCCATGACATATGCATATATTATATAGGATTTATAGATAGTTAGATTCTGATAAATCAGCTGCATGTCTTGATTTATGACAAGCCATTCTTTTCTGGCTGGGTAATCAGATTGCCAGGGCATCTAAGGACATCTGAAAAACCCAGCTGTCTTTCACTAAAGAGCTCTAAGCAATTCAGATTCAGTGTTTTGCTTCCGACAGTGAAAAGCCAAACAGTTCTGGGTATTATACAAGAGGTTGGAAGGGACCTTACAGGCAATGTAGTCCCTTTCCCAGTTCAGCATAGGATCTGTAATAAAGATGCAACAACAGTATCTCCTGACAACAATAAGTGAAAAGATTCATGAAAAGCCCTAGTACCAGTTCTTTATTCCCTTGAATTAATCCTGATCCAGTAGGATGCTCTACTCTTCACAGGTATCAATGCTTCCTCTGCAATTATTTTCATCAAAGAATACCACATTACAAAGAACAAACAAAAGGAAATCACATTTATGATTGGTGTTTTTTTGGGTGGGGGATTCACGTTCCAGGAAGTTAGGAATTATCGAACTGAAGTCAACTCTTAAGATTTATTTATTTATTTATTTATTTATTATTTATTATCATCCCAAATCAATCCACAGCAGGATGAA